TAATATATACAGTAACAATAACAGTTCTGTCTGGTTCTTGAATCTGATTGGCTATATATCCGTGATATATTTAAGTAATATCAGCACCCGGACAGCCTCTTTACCTTTTGTGTATTACTCCGCCCACATACAACCAGCAAAAAGCCAACACTACAGATCTAAAGTTTAAAAGATGCTTGCTCAGCTGTTTAACTGTCAGCTTATGATTTGAAACCAAGGCGGAAGAAAGTAGTTCCTCATACAAAAGGGTTTTTAAGACTCTCCATGTTTGATTTTGTTTTTATATACACAATTATGCCGTCAAACTGTTGTATAAACCCAATATCACACTCGTAGCTGTGCGATTTGGCAGTATATCGGCACTGGTGGCAACGCACGCCTCCCACCAGCGCTGATATACAGCCATATCGCACTGCTACTCGTGTTATATTGCTCATATATACGACGCGAAAGGCATTCATTATGCAAAAAAGCTCGCACAGCGGCCTCTCGCGGATTCGCGAAAACAAAAACTGCACAAATACGTACCTCCCGGGACGTCTTTCGCGGTCTCCAGAAATTTCCGCGGGGCTACGTTTCCAGAATGAGCCTGGGTTGATTGTTTTATTATTAGTTCATGTTTATATATTTTTAATGCATGACTCAAACTATCAACCTTCTTGCTGTGAGGCCACTGTGCTAACCACTGAGCCACTGTGCTGCCCTTTGTCCAATTTTATCTTGTATATTTCAAATTCTCCTAGGATCTATCATTTTAATGCCTTCCATAATTTTTTTTCTCTTCTTCTCCTGCTTCTCCACGTGGAGAACTTGTGGCAATTAGATGGAGAAGCTGAGGCGAACAATGGGGATAAATGAGCTTTAGGCCTTGAGGAAGGAGGAAAATTTAGCGGTGGTGAAAATGAGCTCAATGGGTTCTTTGTTTGTCTTCGTCTAATCCACTACTTTTTCCAGTGCCACTTGATTTAATCAGCCCGATTCTCTGCCTGACTGATGTCGGTCATAGTCTTGGATTTGTAAGTGAGCAGGGATACTTATGTGTGTGTGTGTTCGCTTTCGAAAGCCCTTACAGCCCTTCTTGGCCTCTGTTACACTTGATCTCAGGTGAGGAATGTTTTCGGTTGGTTAAGACACATCCACCGCTCAGCCCCCCACATGGATGGTGAAATGCGGATGTGCATTTGGGGTCATGCATTTTCAGCCATTTTAACAGCCATATGTTCTGATCTCACGTGAGTTTTATTTAATTCTAATGGATTTATTAAAATGTAATTCACTCGCTTTGACTAGCGAGTCTGTTTATGAGTTTGTCCCTGAATCATTTACAAAAACAGTTCACGAGTCATTGTTGAACAAAACATATTACAGAAAGCTTGCTGGTAGTTTACTCAACCTCAGGCCATTCAAAATCCACAGACCCAGCATTTCTACTTTACAGTTCCTCAATATGTCATCGGGAAGTCAGAAAATTTAATTTTGCATTACTAGATTTTTTGAGTTATGTTTACTTTCATCTTATGAATCAGTAAGAGTTACAGCAATAGAAATAATCATATGCAGTTATCTATTTAATATTAATCGTCGCCTAAAACTTGAATGGCCAAAAAGTGAGTAAATTAAAAGCTAATTTTCCCTTATGCCGAGTTCAGACTGGATGATTTTAGCCCCGATTTTGACTGACAGGTTTTGAGAAATCGCAGACAAATGCCTGAAATCACAGGCAAATTGGTGACAATCATACAGTATGAACTATCAATAACACAATATGAAAGAATCGCCGATGAGTCGCCGATGCCTGTGAGATATTTGGTGTGCTAAATATCTGGAGCTGTCGGCGATTCAAATCATGTCGTATGAAACGAGTTTTGTCTGAAAATAACATTGATGATCGCCTACAGCCAATGAGAGAGGAGCATCCACTTATGTGTGTGTGTACCTGAAGGCCAGCGGGAGGTTGAGGGAGTAGTTAAAAGCGCTCATTTTCAGTTAATTTGGACCCAAGAAATGAAGGAACAACTAGTGGAGGTTTGACAGGAGCCCCCGTGTCTGTTTGACATTTCATACAGAAAGTAAAAAAAAAAGTTGAGGAGAAATTGCTCATTCCATTCAAACCCAGGTCAGCAAATATGTACATTTTCTACCTCATTAAAGACCTTTTCTCGTTATTTAGTTAATAACAAAGATATACCACGTGTTTTTGGCTGTAAGACGTAGTTTGGGCAAAGTTGTCGGCGATTCTTTCTATTGTAAAGTCATGCAGTGTGAAACCCCCTGTCGTCGATCCATCTTGCAGTGTAAACAAAGCAGCGATAAAATGCAAGCCCAGATAGTCATCGGGACTGAAAACATCTGTGACACGACTACTTTCAAAATCATGCAGTCTCTGCATTAAATGGCTGATTTAATAAATCATATTTCATTTATCTGATACCGTCAAAAATAGTTGAAGGTTTTTTTAAGCTAAAAAGTTAAGTGGGTCTTTGAATCATTTATTTAAATGTTCATGAAAGAAAGCAAGGTCTTCATGAATGTAAATACCAATCGCTGCAAAATAGCAATTCATTGATGAACAATACACAACTTGTCATGACTGTTCAGTTTGATTCACTGTGTCATTCATTTAACTGATTCGTTCAAGAACATTGATTCATTCAGGGATGATTAAAGTCACTTAGGTCTTTGCATCATCGTTCTATTGTTTAAGTAACTATGTTGTTTGTTCAGGAACAAAAGGGACCATTTTTGTCATTGAATCATTTGATTCACCTGATTCTTTCAAAGCATTCTAGTGTACAGAAGTAAAACAAGGGATGAAAAAATGGTCAACGCTTCAATTAAAACACAGGTTCATTCAGAAATGCTGTCAATAGCCCCTTTCACACAGTGATACCGGTAAATATCCGGAAAATTTCCGGAATGACTTTACCGGTATATTCAAAAAAGCGCTGTTCACACAGGCGAGGACGTTACGGAAATTTTCCGGAAAAGAGCATTCACACATCCATTCCAAAATACCGGTAAATTCTGACATCATTCACCAGAAATGAGCTTTAAACGGCTGCGCTTGTGTTTGTAAACATTTGACTAAATTACAAACTCTGTGGATGATCAATATTGTGAACAACTTTCGCAGGATCACTTTCGCATGTCGAGATGTTCATAATATGTGCGTGTGCAGGCGCTCAGGCTGTTTCACAGGCACACGCAAAGCTTGAAGGTAAACAAACAACGGCTTGTCATAAGCATCTCATCGATGATTATTTACACAGTTGGCATTAAGAAGAACATATAAACGTGATCTGACTAACTTCTAGCAGCTAAATGTGTCTGGAAAAATATTCAAAGGCTTTTATTCTCATAAACCGCACGGACGTAAAAGCATCTGACTGTTGTGATTGGCTAAAGCGGACGTCTCACGTCAGCACGTTCTAGACGTGCACACGCTTATTCCGTCAATCTTCCTTCTGCATTCACACAGCGCAGCATTCCGGCAAATCGCCAGTAATGTTACAACTTCTCTTTCCGGAAAATAGCCAGAACGAATTTACCGGTATTTTCAAAAAGGACTTGTTCACACATACAACCTTTCCGGAAAATTGCCGGTAATTTTCCAGAAAGGTCTGTATGTGTGAAAGGGGCTAATGTGTGTTGCACAGAGAAACACGACAGCTGGTTTAACTTTTATTTTGCTTTGTTTGACTTTCACTCTCAATCCTGTTGACGGTCAATAGAGCAATTTGTAATGGACAAACTGCAGTTTGACACTAATTTCGTCTTGCTATGTTTGATTAAAAATTGACATGCTAAACACATATTCATTTTGAATGTGTATCAATTAAACCATCAGAAATGATCAAACGAATCATGCCACAAATCTTTGATGATCACTCAATGCTGCTTTTGAAAAGTTTAGGAATATTGTTAATTTATTTAAACAGTCATAATTCTTCCTAAACCTTTGTCATGATACCATTATATAATCTTATTCTCACGCACGTCATGTCTTTTTTATTTTTTCCTCAATTTTGGAGTCATTTCACTTATCTGACAACCATCCGACTCTGCATGGGAAGTTGCTTTCTTATCTATGGTGATTTTTCACTGGTCTACAGTTTAATCTAGCTCTTATCATGCTTTACAGAGAAACTGTAGGATCTCTTGTGGTTCTGAGGTATTTGAACTAGAGAGTGAGGTTTATCACAGCATTTTTTAAAGTCCCCACCTTTAATTTACTCTGTGTTTTAAAGCCTGTCTTTGGAAAAGAAAGAAAAAATGTTTACATTTACTGAAGCCACATTTTCTGAGGAGTGTTGCTAAGCAACTACTGGTTGTTAAGATGTTGCTAGGGTGTTGTAGTTGCAGGATACGCTTATGGCTTGGCACCCTACTTTAATATATGTCTATGATTTTGTCATCTGCAGGGGTAAAAAAAAGATCATCTTTCCTCATAGGTTGACATTTCATTACTGTTCAGGTCGCGAAACAAGTGGCACAGTTTAATACGGGATATATGTTTGAGTACAGTATGACGCAAGTTCTCAGTGCGTTTCTAAAGAAGAATATCATTCATTCATTCAATTTCTTTTCGGCTTAGTCTGTTTATTCATCTGGGGTCACCACAGTGGAATGAACCACCAACTTATCCAGCATATATTTTACACCCATCACCCATCACAGGGAAACATACACACTCACACACACACACTACGGATCAATTTAGCCTACCCAATTCACCTATTAAGCATGTCTTTGGACAGTGGGGGAAACTTGATCACCCGGAGGAAATCCACATCAACACAGGGAGAACATGCAAACTCCACACAGAAATGCCAACTGACCCAGCCGATGCTCGAACTAGCAACCTTCTTACTGTGAGGTTATCGTTTTAAGCACTGCATCACCATGTAGCCCTAAAGAGGAATTTGTTTTTGTGAAAAAAAAGGTTTCATTGAACAGTTTCCCAAAAGTAATCCGTGCTGTTTGTTTTCTTTCTTTTGCAGATTTTCCATGCCAACACTGACCCGTCGGAGGTGGTTTTGAATCGTATCCCTCAGCCTGTTCTGGCCCGCTTTGTCCGCATTCGACCACAGACGTGGAACAATGGCATTGCACTGCGCTTTGAGCTTTATGGCTGCCAGATTACAGGTGAATGTTTATTTTCGCATCATCTCTTTTCATTATACCATACATATCATATGATACATCTTTCAAGAGTTCACACTTAGCTGATGATTGATAATAAAGCTAGTTTGGCGTGCTGTCCTGGGAGAGAGCCCTGAGCTTATAAGATCCTCGAGCCCTGGGCGCTCTCCCGTTGCAAGGCGAGAGGGGAGTTTGTTTGGCACAGCATGCCAAACAAGCTTTATAATCAATCATCAGCTGTGTGAACTCTTGAACTTATAAAACCAATGCAGTATATGTCACCTTTAAGTAAACCTCAAGTATTTCTCTTAAAATAATATGAAATTTATTCTTATGTTTATTTTGATTTTTATAAATCTTTATAATTTATAAAAAGTCAAAAAAGAAGTACAGCATTTATTTTTGTTGTTGTTTTGTCATGTTGATCAATATCCAAATATAATACAGTCAACCTTACAGAGGTAATCTTTCTTTTTTTAACCTCAAATTTATAGCGAAGCCAGTGGCAGTGTCCTAAATCAAATGCACCCCAACACTCTCAAAAATAAAGGTACAAGAGTTTTCACTGTGGTGGTACCTTTTCAAAAGGTACAAATTTGTACCTGAAAGGTCCATATTAATACCTCGAGGGTACATATTAGTACCTAAAAATTACAAAAGTGTTCCTCTTAAAATTTGAAGGTACTAATATGTACTTTTGAGGTACCAATATGAACCTTTTAAGTACAAACGTGTACCTTTTGACAAGGTACCACCAAAGTGACAAGATGCGTAACTTTATTTCTGAGAGTGTAATATATATTATTCAACTGCTAGTTCATAATTTATAATGTAATATGTCTAAACTCCATTCAAACTACCCGTTAAAACATATAAAACATAGTTTTAACAGTTATAAAGTACACTGTAAAAACGTACATGATCAATTAGTCCTGACAGCATTTGTTTTTAAGTCATTGTAACTTAAGTTAATCATGTTTAAACTTATTTTTATAAGTTACATTAGCTGTTTTAAGTCAGTTTAACATAATATAAGTTCAATGGACTTAATTCGATTTAGCTTGAAAATTTAAGGTGACCAGAACTTTTACAGTGATAGGTTTACATTGTAATTAATGTAATTGCAGCACCTATTTAAACACATTTTGCACACTTTGTGAGAGCGTTCATCATTTGAAGGCTCATTGTCTTTTGTTTTGTCAGATGCTCCTTGTTCAGAGCTCCAGGGAATGTTGTCAGGACTCCTCCCGGACTCCCAGATCTCAGCCTCCTCAATGCGGGACCTCCACTGGAGCCCTGGAGCGGCTCGTTTGGTGGCCAGTCGATCAGGATGGTTTCCCAGTCCTGCTCAGCCTATAGCTGGAGAAGAGTGGCTCCAGGTAGACCTCGGGACACCCCGGATGGTGCGTGGAGTGATAACTCAAGGAGCGCGGAGTGGTGATGGAGGAACCAGCTCAGAGAACCGGGCTTTCGTACGGAAGTACCGCCTCGCACACAGCCTGAACGGGAAAGACTGGAACTTTGTAATAGATAGCAAGACTAGCATGCCTAAGGTATAACATCTGTCCAATGCATACTCTTAAAGTGTCCCTATAATGCTTTTTATTGTTTATTATTATCTATTGAAGCAGCAAAAGAAAAAGAAGTAGAATTATATAAGTAGAACATATATAAATGACACCACTTCATCAAAACACCTGACAGCGGTTGGGATAAAGGATCATCTAAATCTCTATGTGGATCACTGGGGCTTTACTAGTCTCTCACTGAATGTGCTCTTAAGTGTTCTAATGGTATTATTTAGTGGATGTCCTTCATGATCTTTAATTTAGCTCTTGATCTCTTTTTTACAGTCGCCTCAAGTAATTCAGGATTAAACCAATAATAATTGTATCGATCCTGTTTCTTTCAAGGCAATAACAAGGCAATAACATTGTTGTCTCCTAAATTAAAGAAATGATTAATCACTTAACTGACTTAAATCTAATAAATTGATTAATTAGTTATTGAAAAAATTATGGGATATATGGGGTATTGGGGTTGGTGATATTAATAAGGTAGGATGATGGATTTATAGAATGTAATTATACAATATGTCGCTAAACTGAATATTATTAAAATTCTCCACATGTCTGAGGAATTTTGAATAAATCAGATGAATCATTAATTTAATGATCCGTTCATAAGAGAATGGTTTACATAATTCCTGAATGAATCAGTTGTTTGAACCAGTCAATTTAATAAATGGCAATTTATATGTATATATTATAATATATTATTATTATTATTATTATTTTTTTTTTTAGTATTTTTTTTTTTTAGCAATTTAAAAAATAATTTATTTTTTTGGTTTAAAGTCATTTTGAATCAATTGATAAATTATGTGAATCATTTACTGGACACTCGCTCCAACTGGGTTGCCGCCTGAAGGGTATCCGCTGTGTAAAGCATATATTGGATGGGTAGGTGGTTCATTCCGCTTTGGTGACGCCTGATGAATAAAAGAACTAAGCCGAAGGAAAATTAATAAACAAATACGCATATATATATATATATATATATATATATGATTACATTTTAAAAATATTAATTTAAATGTAATAATTTTTTCATTTTTATTAATTTAAAGAATAATATAGGCGGTTCAATCTGCTGTGGCGACACCAGATTAATAAAGGGACTAAGCTGATAAGAAAATGAATGAAACACTAATATATTTTATTGGTTTAAAGGCTTGTTCAGAACTGCTGAAATGAGTCATTTTGAATCAATTGATAGATTATGTGAATCATTTATCGGACACCCACTCTAACTGGATCATTTGAATCAGTGAGTCCAGTTATTGCTGTTATTTTCATGTTAACTTCTCTTTAATTCTGACAGCCTTGACAGTTTAGTTTAATTGTGTTTAATTTAATTTTTGAATTCGGGACATTTCAGTCCAACCATGCTTTTCTCATACTATTTTCTTGGATTTTCCAGTTGGGAATCATTCCAAAATGGGACACGAGGCATACTATCTAAACTATTTTACCTTTAGAGGATAGCTATACTTCTTATACATGTTCAGACGTTTAAATTCCCTAACCTCTATTTCACTGCAGCTGTTTGAGGGGAACACGAACTACGACACCCCAGAGCTGCGTCGGTTTGAGGAGCTGCCAGCTCAGTTTATCCGCATCTATCCAGAGCGCTGGTCTCCGGCAGGCATCGGAATGAGAATGGAAGTATTGGGCTGCAACCTGCCAGGTAAGACACAGTCCTCAGGTACATCGCTGTTGTCAAATCATAAGCAGAATTACTTGTTGATGATTGGGCAGTTCCAGTTGTACGCTGGAAATTTATTCGCAGTCTACACGCCGACACTGAGCTGCACCGTCAGCTGAAATCTATTGCAGCACCAACAAATGTTTTTATTTATTTTTTTGGTCGGGAGAAGTAAAGCGAAAAATATGGATAGACTGATGTAAAGAGAAAATAGAAACATGGAAACAGTAATAGTCTCTAAGAGAAGCGGCTGGGGGAAAACAAGCATTAGATATCGGTGGCTGGCTGAGTGTTGTAAGGAAGAAGCTTTAGTGTGACTTCTCAGTGTTGTGTGCTGTTTAGCACTTCTGCTAAGAAAGCTTTGAGTTTGGTGAGATTATTTTATATAATAAAAAAACTCTAATATTATGGAAAAATTGATTTGTACTGTTAAATGAAATCTATCCCAGCATTTACTGCAGAATTTACAGCATCATTACTCGCCATCATTCTTCAGAAATTATTTGAATTGGTTTGTTTTATTTATTTTGAACAGAAAAATCATACACAACAATTATTTTTAAAAAAATAGAATTCAACATGGTTGAAATGGAGCAGGATGAAGCGCAATCTTATTATTTTTGCACCCTATTAATACACACATCATTCGTTTATTACTTCAACGTACTGTATTTCTTCTTTTACTTATCTCTTCTTTTTACATGAGACACATTTTGTTCTTTTTCAATCACCTATATTAATCATTATCTTCCTTTAATAACATATATTTAAACATTTTTTTAATTGATCAATATCCTGGCGTTGTTTGAGAATCTGTTCCTGACTGTTCCATAATTTCACACCATATACAAACATACACAATTTTTTAACTTGTTTTTAAACTTCTAAGATTTTGTTCTTCTCTCTGATTATATCCCCTGTGAATGTGTTTTTATTGTGGTTTGATGACACATTTCTTATTATTATCATTATGAAAACAGGTTATAAGTAGGCCCACACGGAATCTGCGCATGCAGAAATCCACAGATTTACACAGATTTTTAGCCCATCATTGAGTCTATGTATTTACTTGTTTAAATGTGTTCAAGTTTATATTTATTCACTATTTAAATTCATTATTTTCATTTCATATATTAAGTTTTTAGTTATGATAATCCTAAAATAATTCCGCATAAATCCGCAGATTTTTTATAAAATTCTCTGCAGATTTTGTCTGACCCTGGTTATAAGCAATAGTACCATTAAAAATAGTATGTTTTTCCCAACTTTTATAAAAATGTATTCATCCAGGACATTTCAAATGCGCCATAAGTGTATAAAGTATTATTAAAATATTTGAATCTGCTATTTTGAGTCATATTTACAGCATTGAAAATAAGTATTAAACTTATCACCATTTTTCTCAGGAAACATGCTTCGAAAGGTGCTCTTGACTTGAAATTTTCAGATGTTGATAGCAACCAAAGAAATCCATATACGCAAAGAAAACAAATCTAATCTACTTTAGAAATAAAGTTATGTGTAATAAAATGAAATGACACTGGGAAAAAGTAGTGAACACATGAAGAAAGGGAGGTGTAGAAAGGCATGGAAAGCCCAGACAGCAGCTGAAATCTCTCAGTAGTTCTTAAGCAACTCTCTGCCCTTCATCATTGTAAATAAATACCAGCTGCTTCAGTCCAACATCTACATAAGCAGGATGATGAAGATGAAACCAGGGTGGACATTTCAGCAAGACAATGATCCAAAACACAGCCGAGGAAACTCTCAAATGCTTTCAGAGAAATAAAATCAAGCTGTAGAATGGCCCAGGTAATCACCTGATCTGAATCCAATAGAAAATACAAATTAAAGATCAGATTTGATAGACGAGACCCACCAAACCAACAAGATTTTTACACTCTATTGAAGTCTGTGAAAAACTCCCACCTGAGCAATACATGTGACTTCATTCTCCACATGAGAGGCATCTTTAAGCTGCCATCACCAAATAAGCCTTTTAAATAAAGTATTAAATACATTTTAGTAGTTCAGTACTTCTCCGTTTTTCAGATTTTCTTGTTTTGTTTATTTTTTTGGTTTGCATTGTTTGAATTTTTTACAAAATCTGGTTCAATTCCATGCCAACAGCTCCTTTAGAAATATTATTCCCAGGAAAATACATGACATCTTCAATACTTATTTTTCCTGCTGCATTATTATCAAAGAATCCTGAAAAGATACTGTAAAATAGAGATACACAAAAACGGTAAATAAATTCAGCGCTGACTTTGGTTTGCTCTTCATTTAATCTCACAACGAAAAGACAAATCAGAAATTAAACAGATCCCCCCACCCCCCACATATGGAAGCAATGGCGTATTTGTTATTATAATGATTTATTAGTGATTCTTTGTCTGTATCTAACCAGACTTGCTACAGCATCAACCTGCATGAATTCCTTCTCAAACCGGCAATATTATAAACATGAAAGACAGACGCAAACAGGCTCACACAGCTCTCTGCTATAATCAGACAGCAACCCTCCGTGCCAATTATCCTCTATGTTGTATAATTCATCATAGAGCTGCTGGAGATACTTCTGATTGAGTTTGTGTGTGCATGCATGTGTGTGTGTGTATGCAAATGTACAGTATGCTCTACTTTTAGGTGTGATATAACCAAATCCACAAAGTCCTAGAGACCTTCAGCATTGATTGATTGATTGATCAGCATTGCAAATGAAGAAACTTTTTGCTTTTAAACTTACTGTATAGTAAATAGTTCACATGGTTATTTTACAGTATTATTAATGTATGCATGTAAACCCACTACCCGCTTTAGGTACTCCTTGGATTGAACCCATTTAGCCTTCAAAACTGCATTCAAACTGTAAATATTTACTGTAGAAAAAAAGATTAACATATTCAAAATTAATAAATGCAATAATAGATTAATCCTTTTTATTTGCATTACATATATAAAGTAGTAAATACAATGAAGCAGGGTGACAGTAACATGTTTCTATATGTGATGAATTTGTTATTCATGATTTATTTCTCCCATTTCAGAACATCAATGATTGACAAATAACTTAAATGATAAATATAAGATTACATAAAGAATCAAACATGTTATCAATATAAAACACTGTTATTAAATAAAAACATAAATCAGTTCTATCATAATTCATCATAATTATTAACTAATGCAAACATATTGAATTCAGTCTGTTAAAAAAAAAAAAAAAAAAATATATATATATATATATATATATATATATATATATATATATATATATATATATATATATATATACAGTATGTTTATTTATCATAAACGGACTGAATTAGTTAATAATTATGATGAATTATGATACAATTGATTCATGTTTTTATTTAATGTGTGTGCGTGTGCGTGTGCGTGTGCGTGTGCGTGTGCGTGTGTGTGTGTGTGTGTGTGTGTGTGTGTGTGTGTGTGTGTGTTAATGTATAATTTATTGTAATATTTTTAAATTCCTCTTGTCCATGGGTATTAAACTAGGATTTAAAATGTAAAAAGGATGGATGAGTGGATTGATGGATGGATGGATGGAGATAGATAAATAGACAGACAGACAGACAGACAGACAGACAGACAGACAGACAGACAGACAGACAGATAGATATTCAGATATACAGATATACAGATAGATAGATAGATAGATAGATAGATAGATAGATAGATAGATAGATAGATAGATAGATAGATAGATAGATAGATAGATAGATAGATAGATAGATAGATAGATAGATAGATAGATAGATAGATAGATAGATAGATAGATAGATAGATAGACGGACGGACGGACGGACGGACGGACGGACGGACGGACGGACAGATAGGCAGACAGATAGATAGATAGATAGATAGATAGATAGATGGATAGATGGATGGATGGATGGATAGATGGATGGATGGATGGATAGATAGATAGATAGATAGATAGATAGATAGATAGATAGATAGATAGATAGATAGATAGATAGATAGATAGATAGATAGATAGATAGATAGATAGATAGATAGATAGATAGATA